ACACACAAAGTTCTTAATCTCAATCTCACTCGCATTCGTCACAATTAAACTTTCACATGCGCAATTTCTCCAAATAAAGACAAAATGTTAGCGATCCGGCATTAAAGTCGGTATTGAAAATTTGTACCGTAGCCACTTTACGTTATAGCACTTATAGTGAAAAACGTTATGCCATGGGCTAAAAGTCAACTTCTGCGTGTTTTAGCCTGTTTAGAAATATTATTATATCCAGCTTGTTTGTGAAGAGTGGTTGAATGGGCGGAAAGTCAGAAATGCAGATCAGAATGTCGGTGATGCTTTCGTTCCACTGCAGAAACCTCGAGTTAGCATGACTGTGTACTTAAAGACAATTTCCTAAATTCTCATGAGGATATCTTGATAGGGCCCTAGGGCTCGTCACGTGAATGGCGTTCTTTGTCCTCAATTGCAAACTGTCCAGTCGCAATGATTGTAACATGAATATGGCCAAAACTTAAGTTCCCGTGCTGTGATTCTGAATTTGATGAAGAAATTCACTCGGAGAAGCAGTGCAGTAAAATAAATCGAATCAAGTTCGCTCGTTTACTTTATTTATTAGAGCTTCAACTTGTTGGAGATGCGACAAGGAAGGTTTAGTTGCGAGCTATGCGTATAACCTGTAAACCACTCCTGATACACAAGTATCTTAAGCGTCTGTTAAGGAAGAACAAGCTGTCTGGCTGAGCGGCTTCGTACATATTTTCTTGGCCATCTTCGGAAGCTAGTACCTCCGTGTTACACTCACATCAATGTTCCTGCCTGCTCAGCAACGTTGCTTCAGTTTCCAAAGGATCCAAGTTTCCACCCGTATTAATTTACTGTGCCACAAGCTAACGCTTCATTTTGGATGCTTTGAGCTGTTCCCGAGAGAAAACTAGTTCAGATGAGTGACAGAACAGAAGTTCTAAAGCGGCTGTCAGTAAACCTCAACGGTGGTCTTGTTGAACGGGGCAACGCTTTAAACCCTTATACCCAATCTGTATTGGTAGTGAAGTGTAGATGAGGCCGCGCTATAGCTCAAGCCGTTAGTTGCTGGCTTCCCGCCGCGGCTGCCCGGGTTCGATCCCGGGTCTGGTCAAGTGGGATTTGTGGTGGACAAAGTGGCGCCGGAGCAGGGTTTCTCCGAGTATTTCGGTTTCCCCTGCCACTCTTCATTCCACCAATTGCTCCACAGTCACCCTCACCTATCATCTGGGGCTGGTACAATAGGCCAGAAGTGGCCGCAGTACAAGGGACTCAGTCCCACCCCACTAGCAATAAAGGAAAGTATAAATGAATTTCCTATTTATATAGGTAGGGTCTCCAATCTGTCTCCAGTTCATCTTTTTCAGATATGAATATTTCCATTGTTTAATTTTTTTTCGTATAACTAATACACCATGTTAGGTGGTTCCGTTGTCACCACGGCATGGCGCGCATGTGGAGGGAGGAGATGCCCTCCAGGTAGGGAAGGAAAATGCGAATCTATTGAATAAGCAATCACTGACAGCCGACAAGGGATGGTCCTCCAGCTTGGGGGTTAGGCGTGGGGCAGTGATAACAGCACTAATACCGGTCACGGTAGTCGAGCGCTCTAAGACCTCTACTGTCTTCGCTCGCTCGGAAGCCGGAATCGTGGGTTCAAATCCCACTCTGGCAATGATATTTAGTGTTTGTGTACAGGTAGAGGCCTTGCGACAAGCTGATCAACCGCCCAAGGAGTCCTACCGTCTATAAAATGACCATAAAGCCGGAAATCAGAGACCTGGGCACAAGTGAGCTGTAGAGCCAATGAAAAAATACAATTAATAGCAATAGCCACATTAGCAACAAAGGATTAAGCAACCGATGATCTGAGATTAGTCTGACGCATACAATTCAAGCTAACTAAAAAAACATGATGATAGACTCTGCTGTTTACTGTAATGGTATTACAATGTGCAGCAAATTCCTTCATCACAACAACCTGCACACCTAATGATGGCAGGTTAGGTCGAAACATGTAGCGACAATGCAGAGAAAACGATAAGAGGATATTAACCGATGTTACACATAGAGGGCAGGAAAAAAACGGAAAGAAAAGTTAGGTCTCCACAGTGCAACAGGATGCAGCAATTTAATATTGAGGTATTTATGAAGTTTAATGAGCGCTTGAGAACATGTTACTGAGCAGAACAGTTGAATTGGAGGGAGAGGAGGTGTGAGGTGGAAGGAGAAAGCCACACAATGAGAAGTTTCAATTCATACTCTTGACGAAATATTCTTCTTCTTTTACGTTTCGTACTAGGCCCTCTGGTCTGCTTCTCATCAGAACTGATCCGGAGCTATGGGACTTACATAGACATTTGGGAGGTCCCGGGGACGGTGAGCCTGTCGCAAGGCCGCTACCTACACAGGACACCACGAACACAAAAGAAACGCGGATGTCTCCGGTGGGAATGAAATAATATTTGGGTGATGAATCAAGGAAAATGAGTTGGGAAAGAACAAAGCACGTTTGGAAGACATGAGAAATAATCTTCGATAAATACCGTTAGTCGGAAAACATGAAAAAAGAGACAACTTGCAGTGGATGGGAGGATGCTGTGAGCGGGAAAGGATTCCGAGGAATGTGCACTGGACACATCAGGCTCAGATGGGTTTCACTGCCAGACTCTTTTTGTTTCCTTGGCACTACAGCCCCAGTGGGCCTAGGCCTGCCTCCATGAACTTCTCCGTTCACTTCGTTTTTTCCTGATCTTACACATTCGGTAAAGCGGCCTCCGCAGTCTAGGGGTAACGCACCCACCTCATGACTCAAGGTACGCGGCGGAGGTCGTGGAATTTTTAAGGGCGGAAAAATTCAGGGAACAAGTCCTCCGGGAGGGACTTTAAACCGTGGGTCCCGTGTCGTAGATTTACGGCACGTAAAAGAACCTCATATCTCTAGGAGACCTCTGAGCTAAATTTGGCAAAAAGTTTCCCGCCCAAAGTAGTTTCCAATGCCTCCGGTAGATGGGGAAGTATTAGGTACCACTACCAGAGGAGGGAGGAACTCTCTGAGAGAAAGGGACTAACTATTAGATACCATAGCCAGTAGAAGGTTGGAACCTCGCTGGCAGAAAGGGGCTAATAGCGAGCACCAGTACCGGTAGGGTATGGAGAAAGTAGAAATTAAAAGGGCGACGCACAATGGACCAATAACTGGTCTAAGTGCATGGGGAAACCCACCCCCTCTATATACTCAATACTCAATACACATTCGGTAGGACCCCTTGGGCGGGTGATCAGCTCGTCGCAAGGTCTCTACCTGTACACAGAAAAACGCACACACACACACAAACTAAACATCCATGCCCTGAGTGGGATTCGAATCCACGATCGCGGTTTCCAAGCGAGCGAAGACAGTAAATGCCTTAGACCGCTCGGCTACCGTGACCGGCTCTGGCGGACTCTTGGGGCCACAATTATAAACTTTCGGTTTCCATAAAAGGTGGGAAATTTCTTGACTATGCGAGAGACTATTAGCTTCCGAAGTAAGATTCTACTCGGTAGGTAATTACTGATGACTAAGGCATGCGAATCGCGGAATGTCTTTACTTGGAAAGAAGGTAATCCGATTAGAAGAAAATGCCTTTTATTTCATGTAGAGACGCACGAATCTTCAGATGAAAAGGAACTGATACGTTCCGAGATATAATTCATAATGAAAGCTGATGGCTATTCATTCTTTTCGGGAAAGATAAATGAAGACATTCTAAACTAATTATGCAAACAACACATGTGCTTGTCGTGCACTACTGCTGATTAACCCGGCAGGAAAGCGTGAGCTCTCTAGAAGACAAAACACTACCGAAACCAATTCATTTATATTACATCAGAAGACGCAGACAAAACAAAAACCGCCAGTTCGTGAAAGTGCTGGGCCTCAAGGTAACATATGAAAAAAAGAAAGATATAAAAAATGGAAAATATAAATAAAGTCAGAGAATAGTGAATAAAAAGAGTAGAAAAGAAGAAAAGGAGTAAATAAAACGAAGAAAAAGGAAAGAAATAGAAGAAAGGGAGGCAGATATTATGGAATAATAGAATGGAAGGAAGGCAGACAGATGGAAATAAAAGGAGAAATAAACAATTAATAAAGAAAGGAATAAAATGAAAGAAAGGATGAACACCCCATAAAGGAATAGAGGATGGAAGAAGGAAGGAAAATTTAATGAGGAGGGAGATAAAGAAAGAGTTAAATGAAGATTTGAGCGAAGAATATACAAATGCATAACTAATAGCAGAAACAAAATGGACAAGAAATAGAGTTATGTGTGGTTTGTGTTAAGCCCTGGCACTTGCTTCGTAGAAATTTGCTATGTAATTACGATAAATACTACCAAGTGAGATTTGGTTTTTCCAATAAAATTCAAAGGGATCAGGAGGCTCTTCAGACTCGTCAGTTTCTGTGGTTTGGTTCAAATAAAGGGCTAACTACTTCAATAAATATTCTGGACCTGCAGCTGATAAAAGAGTTCCGAAAGTTTTCTAAGCCAGTAGAAAATTTCGTTGTCAAAATTTGGTACAACTGGTTCATGCCAAGTTACATACTGAACAAGAAGAATTAATAACACGTGCAAATATATTTATCAAACTTATTATAAAACTTCATTAAATTTATAGGATGCACTTTCTCCTGTAAATAAATCAATTAGGTTTTCTTCCAGTAATATCTAATGTCTAATGTCTTACCGAAGTGAACGGAGAAGTTCATGGAGGTAGGCTTAGGCCCACTGGGGCTGTAGTGCCAAGGAAAAATCTAATGTCTTACGTCAGAAGTTGACGACACATAGCCGTCAAAGTACGTCAGTAAGATAGGATGGTCATTTCAGATGAAATTCCACTAAGTAGAACCAAGTAATACACGCCGTTTCCAAGCAACAACCAGGCAGCTACGCCGCTGTCGAGCCAATATAAATCTTGCAAATTCCGGTACTCTTCGAACGGAATGAAACACAATCCAAGGAATTTCTACTTACCTCGGCAGATTTCCTTATGCTTTGCAGTACACGCAGACTTCAGCTGCCTAGTGTCTTCATAGAAATCAATCATCAGTGACCCTGGAAGTCAAGATCATCAGTTATGTTATTATGTACCTTCTTTCACTTCAGTGAACGTGTATTAATTTGGGTCAGAGTGTAAAGCATCTAACCGCAAAAAGTGACGGTATTAAATGGAGAAAACAAGGTTCCAGCTAATCTACCATTCGTCATTGAAAGATTAAGAATTACTAATGATAGGAGCCTCCTTAAATTGTAAAGAAAGTTACGTAATATACGCCTTTAATGTAGTCGTAGAAAAGCATATCATGACAAAGGAAATAAACCGCCCTTCTTTGTGGAAATTTATCGCACTAAAAGAAATATGATTCAGTAACGGAAAGGTAAAAAAAGTAAGGCTCTCCTGTAACAGGCCGTGAAGGCCCATACGGTTCTGAGTCGTTGAGGCTCCCACATTTTCTCGAAAATCGGATCACAGATAGCGGTGAGGTTGTCAGCCTTGCATGCCAGTCGCCCTTTAGCCCCCAGGAAGATTCCTGGTACTTATTTCTGTTAGAGGCTGAGTCGACCTCAGGTCCATAATGACGAGAGATTAGTAAATATAGATAAATATTGACTAACAGAAAAAAACACTAAATGATTAAATGACTGAAAACTGACAGACTAACTAATTGACTTATGTATAAGACAAATTGTTTAACCAACTTTCTGACCAATATAAGTGATTTATAACCAAGTGGCTGAATAATAAAATAGTTTTTTTTTGTCTAACTGACTGCCTGTCTGATATAACTAACTGTTTAACTGAAGTACAATACCCATTTTTTAACTAACTATAGCAGAATTAAAGAAAGACTCGCCATAGATTTTCCCCCACACCCCTACACTCTACTTCTCACATTCACACCGGGTACGGGAGAAGGCAGTCAACTTTATTCCACTAGCGGTGCTAATTGTTTCGTCGATTCTACTGCAACATAACTAATTATTTAAGTGACTAAATGACAAACAAGCCGGTCACGGTAGCCGAGCGGTCTAAGGCATGTACTATCTTCGCTCGCTTGGAAACCGGGATCGTGGGTTCGAATTCCACTCAGGGCAGGGATGTTTAGTTTGTGTGTGTGCGCTTTTTTTTTGTTTGTGTGCAGGTAGAGGCCTTGCGACGAGCTGATCACCCGTCCAAGGAGTCCTACCGAATGTGTAAGATCTAGAAAAACGAACTGAACGCAGAAATTTATGGAGGTAGGCCTAGGCCCACTGGGGCTGTAGCGCCAAGGAAAAAAATGATAAACAAAACTGGCTGCTTAAATGAGTAGATGATTAAAACAACTAATGGCATAAATAGCCAAATATGTAACTGGATATATAAGAATTGCATGTTTTCACGGCGGTGACTATGAAGAATGCCATCTTCTGGGATGTGACGCCGTGTATATATGGTTTTAACCGACGTTCCACCGAAACATCGGTCAACACCATATCTACACTGTGCCACATCCCAGAAGACGGCATTCTTCAAGTTACTGAACAGCTTAAGTTGCTGTTTACGCACAAACACACTTTCTAGTAGGTTTGTAATAGCTCAGCTCCAGGGTATCAAAGCCCACCATTTAAGATACAACGTGACAGTTCCATCCAGCTCCGAGCCTCACAACCTACTCGCATATGCCTAAGAAGCATTATAACGCGATTCTCCCATTTCCTTCTTGCATTTAAAAGTGGACATATTACAAGAGATTTCGCCATCAAAATCCTGTACAGAGCATCACGTTTCTCGTTATGAAACACCCTGTGCTACTCAATGATTTTACTCTTCTCAGATTTAAATTTTCTTCTAAGCAATTTGTGGTTTTCAAATCTCGTCCTGCAAAATAAAAGGACCAAATATGATAACCATATCAAAGTATCAAAATGTTGTTTTTATCTCTGATGTGAGCATAAACTTGCGAGAAGAACAGACTTCTAGTAATTTGTTCTTGTAAGGCTGTGGTGGGGATATAGCTTCGAGCTTCACTGCACTGCGTGTTTACTTACTTTGTTATGAAATATTTCTTCCGAAATTTTTACCAGACATTATAATTGTATTTTGATGGAAACATGAAAGAGAAAATTCTTTGTTCAAATTTTATTGCTGAACAAAATTTTGGTTTGCTTTTTGTGAGTTTTTCTTGTAATTTCTACGAAAGCATTTATGTATCCTTTTAAAAAAGGCATTAAACTCTACCATACCACATATTATATTATATTATACGTTTGCGTTGTGTTTCTGTCTGTGTATTCGTGAGGTAAACCTATCATTTGAATCCGCTCTAACCAAAAGGTAAATGTGCAACTTTTTAATGTTACGTCTAATGAAGCCTATGTTTGCGTAACAGCGTTCTATGTTCACATCCCATCACAAATACGAAGAACCAGCAGCATCGCAACGAGAACAAGGGTAATTGCCATTTCGGGTTATTATGATGTGTGTACTACGTTGGTGCTTCCTTTCACCAAACATTACGTCACACTTTCGCTTTCCTGTAATTCGTCTTGAATTATGAGCACATGTCGAAGTAATTACACGGCGGGGGGAGGGTAGTTTGTATCTTCAGCAACAACACGAGGCCGAACTAAAGTTACGGTTGATTGGTTAGCATCTGGGACTTCCCGGGTTTGTTCTTCGATTCGGAAACGGTGTATTGTGCTATTCTGCCTGAAAGTTGTATGGATCTTCTCAGTCCCACGAAGTAAATGCTGAAGTTGTATCTTAAAAGAGATTATATTTCTTTCTTTATTTATTTATGTGCTTCTCCGGTTACGTTTCTAGGCTCGTTAGCTCCTCCCCCCCCCCTGCGAGGGCTGGAGACCAAGTTCTGCTGACTGACTTTGGTGAAGAACTCGCTGAAAAATTATAACCTTATGACGTAAAGATAAAATGTAAAGTTGTTCCTATGCTTAATTAACGAATTAAGCACCACGCCGTGAATATATATGGGGGCGTAGCGGTATAGCCCCACCATTCGTGATCCCTGCATTAGATGGAACTGAGTCATCAGTTTCAAGCACCTACTGCTTTACGCCCTGGTGCGGAACCTATGGTGCCCATTGGATAGGAAACTGAGTGAGCCCCACAGCTCGTCTGGGCGTTACGGAGAAAAGAATACTCGTATCCCTACCGGATATTGAACCCGACCTTACAGCACGTAACCCATCACTATACCCGCTGAGATATCCCGGCTGAACTTATGACGTAATTAAGGAAATTAGGACTAAAAATTAGGAAAAAAACTGTAGGGGAAAGGCACTTAAGATTGCGGACTTACTGTATTTATGCCCATAAAGACATCTTTATTGTGATCCATGGAAAACTGCATTTATTAAACAAAACTCCCGATCTTCAAGAATACAAAACACATCAACAGAGTTACAAAAATTAAATATTTTGTCTTTATAAGAACATTTTTCTTCGAATGGCAAATGCGCAGTCTTACAGGCACTGTCCTTTAAGAATGTGCGTTAGCATACGTCGCATTTGAAGGGTCCGAAGCCTTCGTAGCTTAAACAATTTTCATGCCACCCACTACATTGTGCCCAGTCCTCAGTAATAGGCCCTTCATAGGCTTCGTCACAACCAGGAGAATTAACTTCCTCTTCTTCTGCAGCTGCAGAACAAGTTGACCCTACTGAAGACCCGTCGTAAGAAAGAGTTTTGCTGCCTTGTTTGTTATTGATTGGCTCTTTCCTCGTTGCTAGAAGAGCGTTCTTATATGGAGAGGAAGATAAAACTTCAAATTTTTAGTTCTCTTCCGCTTCTTCGTCTGCACTGCCTTCGGCAATGGTGAGATCATAGCAGGTGACACTTGTGGCTCCTCAACTATCGCAGGTTGAACTGTTAAGGACACTTCATTACCATTTTCATTGTTCACTGAAACGTGAGTGTCTTCTACAGTGGCTTGATTCTCCTGCACACTGGGACAGAATTTCACTTCTGAGGGTGCAAAGTCTTCATCTGAGAAGACATTCCTGTTGTCTCGAATGCAGTTACTGCTATTTTCATGTTTGCCACTCTCTCGTAGGCTGATCTGAAGATTCTGGCAACGTTGGGCTGAGCAATTGCAGTGTCAGGATGGTTCACTAACCCCCTTTCAACCTCTTTGGCGTACGCTTCCTTCGGAGGCCCGAAAAACCAACACTTGAAGGCTGAAGCCTGTGGCTTGCATGCAGTAGTAAAAACAGAAGAGTTATATGATGTTCCCTACAGAAAAGAACAGCTTCAATACTGCAATGGGCGATGTGGTTGTCCAGTATCAGAAGAACTGGATCCTATTTCGTTGGCTTCACGAAGCTGCTGGAATGCTTTAGCCACTCTACGAAGAGTTCAGTATTGATAAAACCAGTGTCATAAATCATTGGCAATGTTCCTTCTGGGGCATCTGTGAATAGTTCTGGTTTCATCCGCTTTCTTGCGAGGATCATAGCTGGAGGAACAAATATGCAGCACACTACAGTTACTGTCTGCCCTCTCGCCTGGTGTCTCTTTGCAGACGATTTTCTTTCCCTTTTGGGGATATTACCTTTGGGACACGACGGGGCACTCTCGAGATACCAGGCTCGTCCATATTGAATTTACGATGAGCTGGAAGCTTTTTCTTAGCACACACACTGACCAAATTATTATGAAATCGCTCACATTGGATTTTGTTCAATTCAATTTCTCTCCCTAGACCGCATTTCTCTGGAGCGCGTAATGTTAGATTTTGCCTCTTGCAGAAGACCAATACCCAGTTCTTTCCTTCTAATCTCACAGTCCTGTTGAACCTATGATCAATCTTCTTCTTGTCGGCAAACTCGTACGCTAAACTTGTGAGCTGTTTCCTGGTAATGCCATAGAATTTCTTGTCTAGCTCCCTCAAATGGTCTGCCAGTTGCCGTGCCTGTTTAGGAGTAAACACAGGCTTATGACGTCCCAGGCAAAATGATACAGTTCCCTGTAAATTAAAGAAAGAATAAATTCTATTACTCAGAGGGTAAATATTGTAAACTTTAGTTAAAATGTAGTATAACATAAGTAAAAATGA